CTTGCTCCAGCAGAGCGAGCTTCGCAATGGGCTACTTCTCGCCAATGGCCATCGTTCGCGGCAACGACTTACTTGTTGAAAACTTTACCACACGTCTCCACGCAACCTATGCCAGCATTTATGCGACGCAAGCTGCCAACGTCGTGCTGCGCAATATCGTGACGCACACCAATTTTGGCGGGGGTATCATGACGGCTGCCAGCCACGTACTCATGGACCAAATCACTTGCCATCGGCTGGAACAACCGAACCACGTGTACGTTAATGCCTACTTTTGCATCTTCGTTCAGGAGGAAGCGGTCAATGCAACACTCCGGGAGAGCGTCCTTTTTGGCCTCTCCACCGTTCTTCTGATTCAAGGCACAGACACGCTGTTGGAGAACTTGAACATCAATTGGGCCCTCAACTCGGATGGTCTCCCCTTTGCTCTTGGATTCAATACATGCAACATCATGCCGGGCCCATCGACCAACAATACAATGATGCGCAACGTCAAGTCCTTGGCGCAATTGGGAGGGTATGGCCTCAACATTTCTGGAACCGACACCCTGGTCGAGGATTCCGTCTTTGGCCATTTCTCTGATAATGTCGGGCTTAACATGGCGCTTGCCGTCTACATTCACCATATCAGCAGGAACACCCTCCTCCAGGGCTCTGACCGGTTTGCTTTAAGGCTTCAAGCCACCGTTGGCCTCGAGACCTTTGGGCAAAACGTCACGGTGCGCAATGCCACCTTCAACAACAACATGTACGAGCCAACGACCATGATCCGCGTGCGCGGAGGCTCTTGTCAGCTTGCCAACGTCCTCCTTGTCAATTACCTGCCCTTGGGTACTGCATTGGTGGTGGTTGAACCGCGGGGCCAAGTCGTTTTCCATGACAGATAGCGCAATACATGGCTCCTGCGATCAGGGTGAGCCCCTGGGGCGAGACATTGTGGTCGAGCCTCATCAATATGGAGCTGCTGCCCGCGTTTTTTCCAGACTGGATTGTGATGCCATCAAAAATGAATCCATCGCCCTCTTGGGTGCTGCAACTTTGAGCCACATACGCCTGGGCCAAGCCACACAGTGCACCAGATTCAACGGTGGGGGCATGGTCCTCGTCGGCGCTAACGATAACGCCCGTCTTGCTGAGACCACGATCCAAGATCTTATTTTGTGGGTCTCTGCTGCACGACTTGAGATTCGAAACGCCAATCGCCGCGAAGTGTAACAGGCTGCTCACCGACCAATCCCAGAAGCGTCTATCAAAATATGTCTATGTCTGCAACTGCCGTGTCCTTGCGGAACGTGACCAACAGCAGTGCAACAGGCCTCATCATACCTGTGACTCTGGGTGCGGCTGCCGGGCTGAAGGTTGAAATGAGTCACAACATTAAGATCGAGAACCCGCACATTGTTCTGTCAACCACATGGACCGACAAAGCTGTAACCGTTGCGCCTTACCAGAGTGGCTTGGTATTGGACTACAAGCATAGACGTATGTCCAGAAGCTGCTGGAACACACTGGAAGATTCCAGTCCTGACTATCGTGATCAACGACTGCAGGATGATGTCTGGTGATCCTTGACGGCGCTCGCCAAGGAAGCCTGTAGAACATTGTGATTGTTCCTGCCACCGAGATATACGTACGGCCCCGTAGACCGGAAGTGGCATTTTTACTTTGTACCTCTCCTGTTTCTATTTCCTCTGTTTGCTTTGTGAATTGACCACAAACGGATCACATCCTAGAACTTGACCATTCTGAACAGCGAAAGGATCTTGGTCAAAGCTCCCACCATTCTCTTTGCCCTGCCTCACACGTCTGTCGTTTTGATCGACGAGAGAAGTCGATACGTTCTTCTCGTGGGTAGTGTCATTTACTCTATGGTGTCCAACACCACCCTGGTGACTGCAGCTGGGTCCGACATATACATCAGCAACTGTGAACTGACGTTCCACCCTCCTCAAACCAGTACCACCTATATCCACGCCACAGACACCAGCACCAATGTGATAATTGGTGTCCGTGTGCCCCAGTTACTACTATCTTGGAGTACAACGCAAGGCACGGTGCTTTGTGCCAATGCCTCCATTGGCATGCTCAGCGAGGCAAAAACCATGGCCGTCGTGGCAGCTTGGTTTGCCGACGTTGGCCAAGGCGTCGTCCATGCCTCGGCAGAATCTGCAACCTCACCTGCTGCTCTCATCTACGATTCAATCTTCACAGGTCACATGGATGTGGCCATTAGATACCAAAGTGCACAGCCTCTGCGAGTGTATAACGATTTTGCGACTCGCCTCTTCTCGGGGACAGGTCGACAGCAGCGTGCTGGAACTGAAGATTGACAAAGTCAAAGTTGTGCACTTCCTTGATCGTCACCAGCTATACCAGCACAGAGCGGTTTTGTGAAACACGTGGCCCCATGCTGGCCGCGCTGGTACACTCGCGAAAAAGGTGAGCGCCCTGATCAGCCTTACCTCGGTGAGAAGAGGAACCACGACGGTGGCAGTTGACAGGTCCAACTCTGGCGAGGGGTACCAAGTGAGGCGGTATGTCGAAGCATTATAAAAGAATTCGCCATGATGATCCAAAGCCTCCATGGTGTTTTGGACTAGAGGCACGAATAAACGATACATGAGACTAGTTTACAGAGACAAAAAGCAGGTTTGGGAGGAGGCAGTCCAATCATGGTGGCTTAGAATCGTACAATAGAAGCGAGCACCGGCGGCGGACGAAGCCCATTGTGCGTTGTACGGTGTGTAAAAGTTGATGTTGCCGGATGTTCGATCAATGCTACGGAGAGTGTGGATGCTGGCTGTCCAAGACTCAAACATGACAGCTTGAGCTTGGGAGAGATTGTCTGGGACGGCCGTGAGATCCTCGGGACGCACGGTAAAACCATTGGCGTTAGCTGCAAGGTACGTCAGGGTTGAGGTCCGTGCGAGGCGCTGGCGTTTATTGTTGGCCCAAAGTTGCAGGACCTGCCGAGGCTTCCAAGCCGAGAGGTGAGCTTCGTAGAAGCCCTGGCTGGTTTTGGACCAGTTGGTCACCAGGATGCCTCCGCTCAA